TATTTGAATTTAGTTTTTGATTTCCAAATTAAGAATCAAAATTTAATAAAAATATATTTTTAAATTTTAAATTAAATTTTAATTAAATAAAACTAACATTATTTAAGATTGTAACTAATTTTTTTTAGAGGGGAAATGCATTAACCTCTAGTCGTAATGCAATCAAAAAAATTACTTTGATCAAACTTGCGAAGAATGGCAAGATTCAATGATCTAACAGAAGATGTTGTTATTGAGATATTGACGAGGCTACCCACAGACTCTTTAGTGCAATTCAAGTCCGTCAATAAATCATGTATTTTCTCATCAAAAACCGTGATTTCAAAGCCAAGCAAGTTCACAACGGCTTCCGCTCCACCTCGCACTCCGACGATCTCCATACTCTTCTCTGACGCTACAGTTCCGAAAACGGTTTAAACATTCTATCATTACTTACCCATGATGAAAAGATGCAAGCAACTCATGGAGGGACTGATGATTTCCGAAGTTTTCTTGTCAATAATGGGAGCTTATCCTTGTATAAGGACACTCCATCATCTTTTGAAATTTTGGGCGTTTGTGATGGCGTCATCTGTTTCAATGATCGTGATGATAGAATCATTATTGCTAATCCAGCAACAAGAAAATTGAGAATTCTTCCAGAGTGTTGCAATTGCCAAGTTAAACCTACAGTAATTACTCTGAGATTTGGTTATGACCCTACCACCAATGATTATAAGGTTGTTAGGGTAGTGTACAATAGTCGGAATAATGATAGAAGGCTTCCTCAATCAGTTTAGGCATACACCTTGAGCTCGAATTCTTGGAGAGAGATTGATAATCTTGTTATGGAAGTCTTTACTTACGGTGATTGCTTTAAAGGGTACTGGAATGGTGCTTATTATTGGTTTGGAGTTGCATTTAAACTAAAATGAAAGTGATTGTTCTGTTTGACATGACTTGTGAGGTATTTCGATACATTACAATGCCAGATTCATGTCAAGGTCCAGTTGATACAAACCATCGCCTCTTGGAGTTGAATGGATCACTTGCTTTCTTATATTATCTCGCTAAAGAGGAAGGGGAATGATTTGATGTTTGAACAATGGATGAATTTGTGGTTAATGGAACTTGGATAAAGCTAATGCAAATTGGACCAATACCTCTCTGGGGTGTGCCAATGACTTTGCTATTTGTGAATGGCGATGAACATCTCATGGAGAACGAAAGACAGATTGTTTCCTACAACCACACAACCAGGCACATCAAGAAATTGACTATATACGGGGAACAAGACTTTTTCAAGCTTGGATTTACCGGCCAAGTCTAATTAATATCAGTTCTCATGAGAAATCTTCAATTCCAAGACCTTCAATTACAAGAGAAGTTGCTTCTGCAATTTATTTTTTGCTCTTAGAAATTTATTATTTAGAGTTTAGAATTATTTGCATGTACAAGCTATCTTTCAAAATCAGGAGCAAGCACATTGTGGCTATTTTGCTATAGTAAAGAGAGTCAACAACCTCCTCATCCTTTGAGCTCTGTTCTTTTGGATTGCAGGGAGCTCCTCCCAAGTATCCCTCAAGCTCAGATTTATCACATCTACAGGGAGACTCATAATTGTGCTGACCAATTGGCTTGAATGGGTTACTTCCTCTCTTCTTAGTTTGGTTTGTTTAATGCTCATCCTCTGGGACTTTTTGTGTTTTATATTGCTGACATTATCATCAGGGTCAAATTCTCAACATTAGCTGTTGAATGTTTACAAAGACATTAGATAATATTTTAGTAGGGAGTGATACTTAGACAATCTTTTATATAGTTTTTTTTTATGTAACTTTCACATATTACCCTTTTGGAAAAAATAGTTTTCAACCATTTTACTTTCATCATGTTTAAACTTTCCTAAATGAA